AGATAGAAGCCAAAAATATGACAAACCATTTGATTCCAATTAATGAAATAGCATTATTTTTTTTTTTCCCCTTTCATTTAAAAGTTATCTATAAAACTCCAAAACATATCTAAATAATATAGGGGCAATAAATTCACAAAGTAAGTTACTTTATTAATGTTAACATTATATTATGATCATTCCTTACTCTACTCTTCCAGCTAAAGGACCATTGGTGCTTGTTTCTATTAGAGCAGAGATATGCTTCTCGTGTTCAGTGACCCATTTCCAAGGAGTATCACAATATAGAAGCCTATTTTCCACTTAATAAACATGCATAATTCCTGTGAATATTAGCAGTGATTATGCACACTTACACACTCTAGGGCATATTCATCTAAACCCAGTGAATTCAAAAGATCTGAAAGAAAATGTATTTGGCCCTTTAGACTGCAAGAAACCCTGAAGAACGATAGGAACACTCAAGAGTTTTTTATTGGTATCTTTTATTTTAATGACAGTTTTGTGTATTAATTCCTTAGCTCTCTGCCTGCAATGATAATGAAGTTTTATGCAAGATAAAAGAATTAAGGACTTTTTAGGAGAGAAAAAGGAAAATTAAGACAGCTAGTAAGGATTAAGCTTAACAGTTAGGGTTTTCTCTTTGAAGAAGGTAATTTTAGGTTTCAGCTTGTCTGATGCTATTTCCTACAGAAAAAGAGGTTAATTGGGATATTGCCAGCAGCCCAGAAGGTCACATCTCATCACAGGTAGATAAATGAGAGGGCAAGCAGTGCAGATTCAAACAGAGACACGATAATTCACAGAATGGATAAAGTTGGAAGACATCACAGCAAATCACCTGGTCCAACCTCTCTGCTCAAGCAGGGTTATCCCAGAGCACATGGCACAGAACTGCACCCAGAGGGTTCTGGAATATCTCTAGTGAGGGAGACTCCCCAGCCTCTCTGGACAACCTGTTCCAGTGTGTGGTCACTGCACAGCAAGGAATTTCTTCCTCATATTTGCGAGAAACTTCCTGTGCATCACTTTCTGCCTCTTGACCTACTGCTGGGTACCACGGAGCAGAGCCTCTTCATTCTCTTGACACCTTCCCCTCAGATACTGATAAACATTGATGAGATCCCCTCTCAGTTATTTCTTCTTGAACAGGCCCAGCTCCCTCAGCCATTTTTTCATGGCAGAATGCTCCAGTCCCTTCATCATCTTTGTCACCCTCTGCTGGACCTGCTTGAGGAGCTCCATCTCTCTCTTGCCCTGAGAAGCCCAGAAATGGATGCAGCTCTCCAGATGCATCTCACCAGGGTTGAGCAGAGGGGCAGGATGACCTCCCTCGACCTGCTGGCAGTGCTCTTCCTCTAATTGATTTTGTTTTCTACATCTTAAGGAGTACATAAACCACTGTGATAAAGGTAAGGCAATTACATTATTTTTGTCACTTAAGAGAGAAAGCAAAAGGACGCCAGTCAGTTGATTTTGCCTTTTCTACTGTTCTAGATAGTTCTCTGCAGCAGGAAGATGTAACTCCCATACCCTGGAGACACTTAGAATTTAGCACCAGCTCCTGTCCTGAGCAATGCCTTGTGGTTTTGCATGTCTCTTTACAAAACATTGGCTTGAGTTTTAGCTTCCTCAGAATGCTATCCACAGATTTCTCCCCCTCCCATGCTCTGTGCAGACTGTCAGGACAGCTAACTCAGTGTTTCAGTATTTAGGACTCTGTGGCTCTAGGCTTGCAGTATATAACCAACTCTTCAATAAACTATTACAAAAACTGCAGAAGCATTCACTTCATGCAGCATCATGGAGGGAAACCTGAGCCCTAACAGTTTGCCACAGATTTTTTATCCCAAGCAGAATCTATCTACCCAAAAATGGACAAGTATTTTCAATGAACCTACTATACTGCAGAAAATGTTAAATATGCAACAATATGAAGTATATTTCTGCCTATTAGCTGCTTGTTTAAAAGAGGTATTCTTGGCTAAATATTCTTATAGACACTTGCATTAAAAGTGCTGCAAATAATTTTTCTGTAGAGTCCATTGGTGAAACTGCTATTTATTTTAAGCACTGGATGATTTGTATTCATAATGGAAACTTCAATAGCAAATGTTCCCAAACCAAACTAGAGTAATTCCCCCTTTAGTCAATACAGTCTTCATCTACATCAGTAAACAGTACAGTACAATTGATGCAAATATGTAGAGTTGGAAGGGTTCATGTTGGGATTTGACATCCACACCACACCTGTTCTGGACGTTCCCTTTCAGACCAACTTAAGCTTATTAGCAGCAATTAGATACAGTAACACATTAGGTGTGATCCCAGGACACACCTAGTTATGTTTCATAAAAAAACCAAAACCAGTTTCTATGCCCTAAGATTGTGCATCCTACTCTGTAATTCTGATGGAAGACAAGTGCAAATTACCAGGAAATTCACTTCAAAGTATTGCTAATATAAAATGTTTTGTCTGTTTAAGCTGAGGATATTTTCTATTCTGTATTAGTAAAAAATAAAGGAGTTTCCTTTGCACCTAAGTTAGATGGCCAACACCTTTCTATCAACACACATGAAAATGCACCCCACAGCTCTCACAAACACAGAAACAATGTCACCTTAAGTTAACGTGAATTGGAAATGGAGGAAAGTCTTGTATTTCTTTTCAAAATATATTGATCTGTGGAAACCCTCCTCAATAAAATCCAGTTCAGACAAACAGATAAATGTCATCCCTCCCAACTAGAAGTTTATGCAGAAGAATTACAAATCAATACATGCTTCATGTATTTTCGCCCTGAATATATTTTAAGTGAAGTGAGATGCTATAAATGTAATGATAATGATTCGGGTCTCCTGCTGGTGGTTCCTCCTGGAAAGATCAAATGTCACATCTGGGGGTTTATCTGCAGCCAGAGGCTGGGGTAGACAGAATGTCCTTCACAGAAGAAATTGCCACCATGGCCAACACTCAGACTATGAGCTCCTCAGAGACATTATTTTACAAGTATTTCTGTGACACAGAGAGAAGTAAAGCTCTGGATTTACTACAGCTAATCATATTTCTCCTTGCAAGATTAGTATTTTGCCCTGAATAGACATTAAATATAGGATGACAATAAACTGGAATAAATATATGGCAGTGCCATTACATAGCAAAAATCAAACCCCACAACTACCAAAGCAAGGCAGAGAATCACATTTCATGTCCATGTCTAAAGATACATGAGGTCATAAAACTAAAAGCTGGATATTGCAGCTTAGCAAGATTACAAAGCTGTCTTCAAATTTCAGGAGTAAAATACTGCTTGTGCTCTTCATGTTATTTTTTTTGCACTACCATCTCTGCAAACATGAGATTGAATTTACTCCCTGATGCATCTTCACAAGTAAAGTATCTTGCAAAATATCTATGAATGCTTCAAACACCTGTCTGAAGGAAGGAAGTCCTGGGAATTCTGAGTTATTTCCAGATGTTTTTCCTCACAGCATACAAAATCATAAAAAAACCCCAAACAACCATCCCACCAAAACAACAACAACAACAAAAACCCAAACCCACAACAATAACAAAGCAAAAAAAAAAGCCCCTGAACAAACAAACAAACAACAACAACAACAAAAAGAAAAACAAAACAAAACAAATCTCCAGAAAACACCTTTACTGCGATTTTCCAAAAAGAAAAAAAATTATTTCTGAAGAGCTGACCAACTTTATTAAGAATTTTTTAAGGACTATTTACTTTGCCCAGCAACAAGTATGAGAAACTACTGGATGTCTGCTCTTGTTGGATGTGCAGTGAATACTGTTTGAAATGGAGCTTATAAATTATCAGTTAATAACAAGTACAACACCTGAGGCTGTACAGATTCTTTCATCTGTAAATATAATTAATTACAAACTCATTTGTTTCTTAAGAATAGGATTGTGAGGCAACATCTTCTTCAGCCATGAATATTAAAATATGAAGACAGAAGCTTATTTGTGTAAGCTGAATTAGAAGTTTATGCTAGAACCATTGATTAGAAAGGAAAAGGGTCTAGGTAATACTTTGCAGAGTGATCTGGTTCAATGCTGAAGAAATTTAGGAAAGAACTGCAGTGTGCATTTGAGGAAAACAAGAGTCCCACTTGTCTGCAAAAATTGCCAGTGTGCTCAGTAGTAACTACTTACATTTAAAAGGTTGCTTTATTTTTATTCAGCCTCACATTGTATTTATGAGCTGTTCTGATCCTATGGTTCATCACTGCCATTCAATATTTGTCCTAATTAACATTACTTTGAAGTGTCTGACCTTTAGGTTGACACTCAATTCTGAATTAAGATATAATTATCTTTGTAACATGAATACACTTTTTATGCTTCCCCCATGTTCTTCTCGTTACAGAATAAATACATAATAAATGTAAGGGAAAGACTGCATTGAACATGACAAAGTAATGAAAAATAAGAAGAAAATAAACAGATCATCCTGCTTTTCCTTCCCAATAAAACGAGGAAAAAAAGTTACAGCAGGGAAAAAATAAAGGCAATACCTAAAATTTATGGGAGAAATCCTTTGTGCACAGTGCATAATTTATCTGCAGGTCATACTGTCATGAAACTTCACCACTTTTATATAAATATGTCCAGAAATCACATGGTATATATTGAACAGGACCATGGCCATCCTTTAAAGGTGAATGACATCACCTTTAAAATTTGAAATTCACGTCATGAATTTCAGAGCACAGAGAATGTATTATAATTCTTGTGAATAAATCACAGCTTTTTTCCTAAACTTTTGGCTCTTGTCACTATAGTTACACAAATCACTGGGTGTGAAGAGGGTAACACTTCCCACTCATTGCCTCACCTTCACCATTGCTTCTCCAAGCAAAGTTATTCCTCAGTCTAAATGACCAACAGCTCTGGACCATTTGCTTTACATTGCTTCATAACTTTTTCTACAGTCAAATAACTTACTTTTAAGTTAACAACTCAGTAAATAACTTACTTTTACGTAGAGCTGCTGAAACTCCTCAAGGTTCAGTCTACCACTTGGACAGTCCTTTAGAAACCCTTTGTACCACTGTTTTAGCTCGTGTTCATTGAACTCCGTGCTCTTCACCAGATCCTCCATCACCTCAGGGGCCAGCTTACTATTTTGTTTCCCCATTTTGCCTTAGGAAGAAATAAATGAATACAATTAGCCAAATGTGAACATTTTAAACTGGAAATAGCCACATAACTTGAACAATTGTTTTGTATTCACTGCTGCTTTCAGTCAAACGCAACTCACAGATTTGCTAGTGAACATGAACCTAAGTTGTGCTTAATTATTGGAGGCTGAAAATAGTGAAAAAGGCAACATTCTTCCTTCATGTGGGAATTAAAGGCCTGGAGACAGACTACACCCATTTGCCTTAAAATTAGGCAATTTACAGCTTTTCTTTACAGTAAGATTGAAAAAGATTACTTTTTTTTTCTTTGAAAGTAACAAAAAAAAAATTCACAGATTCAGGGATGTCCACAGAATTCCTCTTTATTTTTGTCTTGAAAATATCTTCTGATATGACAGCCACGTTAGCAGCTACTCCTCACATGTCCAAGGCTGTGGACAGACAGACTTGTAACATACAGCATTAGGTATTCCACTGGGAGGAAGCAATGCAAGGGTCCACAAACTTGGTCTCAAAAAATGATGACACCAAACTGGAAAAAACAAATTTAATTCTTATGCATTTGTACATATACATGCATAATACACATATGTACAAACAGATGTCTATTTATATATTTAATACATAATTGATAAACATTAGATGGTTTATATTTCATCACTGTTTACATTTCATTGTCATTAACTCTGAAAATATTCACTGCATGTTATATACATTTTGTATATATTTAAAATATTAAACAGAAATACAAAATTTGCATGTGTGTATAGATAAATACAGTCATTTCAGTACTACTCATGTTGGCCCTTTGAGATACTTTCAGGTGCTTTGACATTTGACCAAAGGTGTCCTTTGAGAGAACTTTAGAGAAAACCTCATCTTTAACATTTTCCCATTTCACTACAGTTTTTATCATGACATATATCTTTCAGTTACTTTTTAATCAGATGACAGACAGCACTTAACTTGTCCTGTAGAGAACTGCAAAGCAATGAATAATTTCTTTCCAGAGCCCAGATTTGCATTTCCATTTTTATCTCCAGTTTAGCATCTGTGTCTAATGACTGCACCACATTGAATGCATGGATTTCTAGTCCATATCACCACCCATTCCCAATTTTAATCTATTGCTTTTGGCATCTTCCCCTATTTCAAAGCAGAAGTTTCTTTCTCCTCAGAAGGACATACATTGTTCTGTTCCAACAAATCAATATATTTATATAATTTTCTTTATGGGAACATTCCTTGAGCAGGTGCAAAGTTAATAATTCCTCTGTGTGTGGTGAACATATCCCCTGGTGCCACAGTGCCAGCAGCACCAGGTCTGTTCCTGAAAGACCTCATGGTCCCTCTCCCTTCTGGCCATGGTCCTCCCTGGTCTAAACTCACTCCATGCTCTAAACTTACTTTGAGGCTCTGCCAAGCTCTTCTTCACACATTTTGGTAAACTTAGCACAAATATGTGAGAGTTCAATCTTCCAGTTAACTGCCACAGGTGAAACTGTACATGCAGATGTCCAGAAATCAGCTATTTTGACTAAATGATGGGTTTGCAATTTATGGTATTTAGAGCAACTGCCCCAGCCTTATCTCTGAAGTTCCCACCTCCTCATGTATGACCATGACCCAGTTTGGCACATTCTGAATTTAATTCCCATGGAGACTAAAGCATACTAATGCAGTTATTTCTCTAGCTCCCACTCAGATAGGTTTCACAAGAAACAGTGACTTTTTAAAATTTGTTTTATTCTTTATGGGGCATGTTTACTTCCTCTTTTTTGTTTACACTCTGTTACCTTTTGAAGTCATAAGGTGCTTTGCTTAGGTTCCAGAAAACCCCTAAACATACTCAGCAGTTATAGCAACTATATTAGGTAGATTCAAAAAGCATTTTTTTTCTCTCTTAAATTAACCAGTCTCTTCACCTGGATTCATATCCCCATAAGTATTTAACTCAACAATACTCATGGATGAAAAAAGCATCCTCAATGGGAAAAAATCAGGTGCTCTTGACTGACCACTTTTCTGTTATAGCAGCTTTTTTATCTTCATGTTAGCTTTACAGCCCTTGGACCTGGCACCACTGAGAGCTGGAACAGAACAGATGTGGTGAATCTGAGCCACATCTGCCAAAGTTTCCTATGCTGTTTTCAGTGATGAGAACATAACCCCCTGTACAACACCTACAGAGCATGGAGTGGGCCTGCACGTGTGTAAGAATACACGAATACAGACACACGTATCCACACATAACCTATCCTCAGAGTCAGAGAAACAAGCCACCAGCTTTGTGGCTCTGTGATCCAGGTCCCTAATTTTGGGCAGCTGCCTGTCTGTCACAGGTTGTCCAGTAAGTGCCAAACACCTTTCAGCCATTTCTGATGTACCTCACCACAGAACATCTCATAGTAAAGGAAACCACAGCTGACATTTTAATAAACACTCTCAGAAACTTTTTTTCCACAGAACCAAACCAGTATTTGAAAAAGGTATAATTGGTGATTTTTGGGTTCTGTACTTTATTTGCTGCTCCAGCACAGCACTGTGAATAATCTGCTGGGCTCTATTTGGGACAAAGTAAGCAAACTGACCAAGCTGGTCACAATGCTTTCCTGGAATTAGAAGCACTCATTCTTTCTTCATGTCTTAAAGAGCTTTTCTTAGAGAAATTGAATTACAATCTGCAAGAAAGCTCAAGAGTCTCATATAATTATCAAATATAAACTCAGACTTCTGGCTCTGGGAGATCCATCTTATTTGGGAATAAAACTCAAATACATAGATTATCTAGTTAATCATATCCTAACATCTTCTAGAGCTTCATTGAATCTCTTATTATTATTGAAAAAGTACAATCAGCCATTAGCAATGAGTATGCTACTGCCAACACATTAAATTTTCTAAAATTAAAACTATTTTTAATTAACTTACAATCACAGTTTCCCAAACAAGCTTTTTCCTTGTGAAAATCTACAAATATGCCTTAGGAAAAGACAGGAGAGAACAGCTGCACAGTCACTAAGATTTCAAGAGAAGGAAAGATCACTCTGCAAGCATTTTTTTGTTGAGTAAATTTTATAGTTTTCAACTATAAATTTGTTTCTAAGTGCCATGTTTCCAACCATGCAATATGACAATCCAAGCACTGCTATCATACTTGGTTGTGTTTTCTGGCAAAAAATCACAAAAGAAAAAAAAAAAAAAAGGCTTCATGTGGGGGAGAGATTCCTGATAACCAAGGAACCAGGTACGTGGGTGCCACATTATAGGTACCACATCAAGTCTGTACCCACTGAGATTGCTCTGGCAGGAGAATGCTTATTAACACTAGTAAGGACAACACAATCCAAATTAGAGATCAAGAATAACACTAAAACTCTACTGTTGTGCTACAAGTAGCAAGAGCAATGAAGGTCAAGTTTAAAAACATATCACTTTTCTGAAACACTTGAAAAGGCAGTCAGCCATCCAGAGAAAATTGCTTTTCAGAAACACTTGGTAGGCTACTCCAGTATTTCATTAAGTAACACCTTAATTGCTGTTGTTACAGGCCCATAGAAAAGTCAGATTTTAAAGATGGAATTTTATTAAACAGCCAGTCCCCGACCTGAGGCAGTGCAGGCTGTGCCAGCAGCAGGTGGGGCAGCATGGGGATGGATCTGCCTGCTCTTTGCCTTGCTGCACCTCAGGAGACCCACACCAGAGAGCTCCTGCAGCTTTGAGGCCTGGTGTTGTTTGCCTGATGTATTTCCTGCAATGCTATCATGTCCCACACGTGCTTGTGTTGTTTCAAAAGCTCTCCACTCAATCACCATCCAGACCTCCTGGCCAATGGCAAGGCTTTTTCCCTAGAATATTTCACAGCAGGTCAGGCACAGGTTTATCAAGTCTGCCTCTCCCACTTGGCTTGCCAGCAGTAAACTCTCAGTGTGAGCACAGTTTCACAAAACAAAATTTAAACTACACACCTAAGAAATAAAAAAATTAATTTGAATAGCAAAGCATGACTTACAGAATCTTGTTTGCTTTTTAATGGTCTCAAAAGACCCCCCCAACTGCTGCTTACACAGCTCCATTCCCAGTCTTCTTTCCCCCGCTCTCATTCCCCTTCGGCCTCCTTGGCATGTGCTCAGTGTTCAAAGGGACCAAGAGCAAACAACTTGAACTCTCTCTGTTCCTAAGGAAGAGTAACTGAGTGCTGCCAAAGATCTCCGATTTGTGCTGAAAAAGGACCCAAATTCCACTGAGAAGACAGCACCAACAATGTTCAACAATGTCCCTGTAACCCAGCTCCTGTGCTGTTTTGCTTGCTTTCCTCAGACATAGTTACATAAACCCACTCTCTTTCCGAATTGCTTTAGGAAAAGTGTTGCCAGCAGTGTGAGGGAGGTGATTCCTCCCCTCTGCCCAGCACTGGTGAGACAGCTCTCACCATTCCCCAGGCTGCTGTGTCCAGTGCTGGGTTCCTATACTGGGCAGACATGGACTTACTGGAGTCCAGCAAAGGGCCACAAAGGCGATGAGCACTGGTTATAGGAAGTCTGAGAGGGCTGGGGCTGTTCAGCCTGCAGGAGAGACGGCTCAGGGGGTTTTATCAGTGTGGGTCTAGATACCCAATGAGGGGAACAAAGACAGCAGAGCCAGCCTCGTCTCAAAGGTGTCCAGTGAGACAAGAGGCAATGGGCACAAATTCAAATTCAGCAAATTCTCTCTTGATGTAAGAGAACATTTCTTTACTGAGCAGGTGATCCAACACTGAAACAGATTACCCAGAAAGGTTGTGGAGTCTCCATCCTTGAAGATATTTAAAACCAAACTGGACACAACTCTGAGCACTCATCTATAGTTGACTAGGCTTGAGCAGGGGCTTAGACTTGAGCATCTTTGAGCACCCTCCAATCTTGGTGATTCCGTTATTCTGTGAAACACAGGGAATGTGTTTCACACATAAATGGTCAGTCACACCACCTATTTTTGATATCCACTGCCTAATTTCACTAA